AAAACTTTCTCCTTCTTAGTGTCTCTGGGATTATCTGAGATGGGCCATTTCTAATGTCACAGTAATTATTGGAAGTTGTGCACAGTGGAGCAGAAATGTAATACAACTAAAGTGACGAAAAATGAATTGCCCAGGATGAAATAATTTTGTTACTAAAGTTAGGGTTATGTTCACTTTACCATCTTGAGAAAATTTTCTTGAAAGACAGAAAATCTCAGAGCTATTAAAACACTATACAACTTGCATATTTCAAATAGGGGATCAAAGGGTAAAAATTTCTAACACCTTTAATCAAAAGAACAATCAAATAGTAGTTTTAAGTATACACCAAATAAAATTTGAATGCTACTTGCAACTGGGTTATCGTAGATTTTACAGCAAAGCACAAATAATAATAATAATGTCATTATTTTTAGTATTCCTGAGATACTAAACATGATTTATTATCAGGGCTTCTAAAATTCTAAAAATAATGCATAACTCCCTTAAATATAAATATATATATATGTGTGTGCATGTAAAATAATTTATGTAAAATAAAATATGCATATTTTTCCCAAATGCTTAGTAGAGTTAAACCTCAAGAATGATGACTGTAACAGAACATAATAAATCTAACTGTAGTTAAATTATGTAGTAACTGTATGGGAATGGACAAAAAAAAGAAGCACAAACATTTTGAGTTTCTAATATGTTTTATTAGATTACTTGATCTAATAAATATAATCATTATACTAACTAGATTTCCCAGTCAGAAAATACAAACAACTGATGTGATTACTCCCAGCTTCCTGCTAAACACATATGAAGATGTTTTTAACTTCTAGTAACACTGAAAATTAGGACTAGCTGAAAACCTGTTCCAAGAACCTAGATACACTTTATAAAATGAGGTTGGTACTCAAATAAGAAAAACAAAATAAATGGCATACTTTTGCTCTTGGATAGGTCTTGGATGAAAAAAAATTTTGAATATCCTTAAGCTGATGTATAAATGTAGAGTGATGGCATTAAAAATATCATTTGTTCCCCCATCCAAGTTTGCTCCCTGTAGCTAACTATTCATTGCATGTTTTAAAAATTGTTTAAAAAAATGAGCTGGAAAAGAAGGCAGTTAATCCTACTAGAAAAAGAGTATCTATAATTGATACAATGTGTAATTACACATGAAGTGACAGAAAGACCAAAGCAAACCTCTAGGAAATCCTGAAATAACCCAAATATATATGGAAATGCTATGAAGCCAGCATTTCAAATCAGTACTCTTTTAAATAAGTGGGTTTCTTGATCATTATATTATCAATAACATAGATAAATTGTTCACTTCATATGTAAGTGTAAATTACAAATGGATCAAACATTATTTAACTTTCAAAATGAAAGCATACAAGTATTAGAAGAAAACGTGGGTGGATTTTGTTGTTGTCGATATATAATTCATGGTGTTGTTTTTTAATTTAAGTTCTGGGATACATATGCTGAACATGCAGGTTTGTTACATAGGTATACATGTGCCGTGGTAGTTTGCTGCACCTGTTAACCTGTCAGCTAGGTTTTAAGCCACACATGCATTAGATATGTGTCCTAATGCTCTCCCTCCCCATCCCCCCCAACCCCACAGGCCCCAGTGTGTGATGCCCACCTCCCTGTGTCCATGTGTTCTTATTGTTCAACTCCCACTTATGAGTGAGAACATGTCGTGCTTGGTTTGCTGTTCCTGTGTTATTTTGCCGAGGATGATGATTTCCAGCTTCATCCATGGCCCTGCAAAAGGCATGAACTCATTCTTTTTTTATGGCTGCATAGTATTCCATGGTGTATATGTGCCACATTTTCTTTTCCATCTAACAGAGTCTAATCTCCAGAATCTACAAGGAACTTAAATAAATTTACAAGAAAAAAAAAACCCATCAAAATGTGAGTGAAGGATATGAAGAGACACTTCTTAAATGAAGACATTTATGCAGCCAAGAAACATATGAAAAAAAAAGCTCATCATCCCTAGTCATTTGAGAAATGCAGTTCAAAACAACAAGATCTTACACCAGTTAGAATGATGTTCATTTAAAAAGTCAGGAAACAACCAATGCTCGTGAGGATGTGGAGAAATAGAAATTCTTAATACACTGTTGGTGGGAGGGTAAGTCAGTTCAACTGTTGTGAAAGACAGTATGATGATTCCTCAAGGATCTAGAACCAGAAATACCATTTGACCCAGGAATCCCATTACTGGATATATACCCAAAGGGTTATAAATCATTCTACTATAAAGACACATGCACAAATAAGTTTATTGCAGCACTACTTGCAATAGGAAAGACTTGGAACCAACCCAAATACCCATCAATGATAGATTTTTTTAGAAGGAAGAACAACTTTCCTGTCCATAGTCTAAGTAATGTGAAGGGCAATGGGAAAACCACAGAAAATAAAACTTAATTTGTGAGATGAAAAATGAACTTGATACATTCTCAAAGTTCTTTTCAATGTTAATTTTCAGTGATTTCTTGGAAGTTAACAGCATTATAGTGGTTCTTATCCATCCAAGGTGTAATAATAGCTAAAGAAACCTATGAAGAATTCAATAATTAACTACAGTTCTACTTGCATGCTTGGTAAAAAAGTTACAACTGCAAATAGGGTATTAGATTTTAAATAAAATAGCCATGTTTGTCATGGCATTGTCTTTCTATACTTTCAATTTAAACATTTAAAAAAATCATGGTGTAAGTAATGAGATACTCTTTTGTTATCTGTCTTGACTTCTTACACTATCTTCACCATCTAAAAGCCTAAGTTTATTTTTAGTGGTAGTATAATCTTTTTTTAGTAATAATATAATCTTATAAGGGCAAGTTATAATTCCTAAATTTTATTTCCTTGAGGACGCATGCATGGTTTATGTGAGTTAACCTTTGCTGTTTTTATGCAAACATACTTTAAAATGAATTAATCTGTAGTTTCCCTGAAATTAAACATAATGAAATCTCCATAAACTGTATTCTTAATAACATTTGCACTTATGACCTGTGAAATATATAGTCATCTAGCTTGCTCCTTCCTCACCCTGAAGGGAGGTATGTAGATTTAAAGTCACATAGAAAATCTATTTTATTGTGCTAAGAATAATTGAGAACTACAATAAAAATATTAGTCAAAAAAGAGTAAGTTGAGTTCAAATGTATTTTGGAAATTCTTGCAAATATCTCTGTATATAAAATGTAATGACCTTCATAATGTATAACTTTTTTTGAGAAAGTGTGTTTATATTAATTAACATTATCTATTTCATAGAACACTGATTCATGAAAATATAGAACTCATAAAAGCAAAGTTGAAGATAATTGACTTTGCTTAGATCAGCAGTTCCCAGCCTCTATGGTACCAGGGACCGATTTCATGACAAACAATTTTTCCGCAGATGTGGGACAGGATGGGAGAAGATTTTCGGGATGAGATTGTTCCACCTCAGATCGTCAGGCATTAGTTAGTTTCTCATAAGCAGCACGCAACCTAGATGCCTCACATGTGCAGTTAACAATAGGGCTGGCTCTCCTATGAGAATCTAATGCTGCCACTGATCTAAGAGGAGGCAGAGCTCAGGTGGTAATGCTCACTCACATGCTGCTCACCTCCTGCTGTGCGACCCAGTTCCTAACAGGCCACAGACTCTTATTGGTCTGCCACCTGGTGGTTGGGGAGCCCTGGTTTAGATACCTTATAAACAACACAGTCTTTCAGCGGGACTTTGTACAAGTTATTTAATTAAACTTTGTCAATTTTTTTTATTTCTAAAATAAGAATCATAAAACCATTTAATTTTTGGTAGTTTTCTGAGAATTAAATAAGATGTTATATAAAAATACTTAGCATGGAGCCTGAATATAGTCAATTCTCAACAAATGTTAACTATTAATTATATTAATTATTGTTTATTAACAATGTTACTTGGCTTTAGAATGTTTTAATTTTCTCAAGGAATAAAATTTGAAAACTTACAAGAATTTTTAGTTGGAAGGTTTTGCAAAGGGGCCCTTTTTAATTTCCCTTTGTGATCTTTTTAATTGTTTAATAAAATAATGTTGAGAAAAAATGACTTTGGTTTCCATCAGTCTTACAACAGAATAAAAAATGAGTATGGTCAGTTATCCTCTATTGTCTTGTAAAACAGTGTTAGTACTAAAGAAAGGTAGACATTCATAGGCTTGATAGGCTTGGAAACCCTCACTGTTACAAATGTCCTGAAGCTTAACATTCTTCGAACTTCTGTAAACTTATCCAAGAGGTAACTTTTTTTTTTTTTAAGTATGTTCTCATAAGATGCCCTAGCTCAGCCTAACTAAGAATCTCTAGGGATGTGGCTCTGCAGGTTCCATGGCTATCAAGTTTCTCAGGTGGTTCTTAAGCATAGTAAAAGTTGAAAAATTCTAATCTATCAGACCACAGGGAAACGCGGTCAGTTTTTCTGTCTCTTGGTTTTCCCAAGTAGGAGCAGATGCCCCTTTCTTTCACAAATAAGCTTTGACTTTCCTCATGGATCAGCTAAATAAGTTAACAGCTTTTAGTGGCAGCAATGTGGGGGTTCTAAGCAGAGACTTAATACCTATTATAGTCTAGAAAAACACATCAAGAAAATAAAGGATCAAAAATTGCTGTACTGTATCCTCTGTAGAATGTGGCAAGGTGTGAAAAGACATGGGTTTTGTGGTTCTTTGATCACTCTGGGAAACCTCTGCCATCACTTTCAACATTTCCTCAGTTCTTCTGGCATCTTCAGGAGAAACTTCTTACTTCAGGAAAATGTATCTTTAATAGGGTTGATGATATCTAAGGTAAAATAGTGAAGTGAACTTACAATTTAGCATAATGTATTTTTTTGTTCAGAAGCAGTTTTTAAAAATCAATAATCAGTAATTGAATTAGGTGATTACTTTCTCATGTTAAAATTATAGTCTATTAATATTTACAACATTAAAAATTATTCATTGCGTGTTTTACAGGAATTGAATTGCTTCCTAAGGGATATGTAGATATCCCATTGTTATTTATACCCAGAATTATGAAATTACACAGAACAATGGTAATTATACGGATGATGAGAGCAAATGGAAAATATTGGACTATTGACAATTTTCGTGAGTTGAGTACAGAGTTTAAAAGGTAACATTTAAATAAAGACCATTATAGTAATGCATTAAACAAGCTTGAAGGCCTTCAAGGATGGGAATTTATTCTTTTACATAAGTCCCATGCTCAACCTGTCTTGCCTGCAATGTCTAGCATTTCATTTTAAGGAAAAAATCCCAACTTCAAACATGATCATAAACATTTTTTAATTAATTAATTTTCTGAGATGGAGTCACTCTGTTGTCCAGGATGGAGTGCAGTGGTATGATCTTGACTCACTGCAACCTTTGCCTCCCAGGTTCAAGCAATTCTCATGTCAGTCTCCCGAGTAGCCAGGATTAAGGCATGTGCCACCATGCCCAGCTAGTTTTTGTATTTGTCGTAGAGATAAGTTTTCACCATGTTGGCCAGGTTGGTCTTGAACTCCTGACCTCAAGTGATCCACCTGTCTTGGCCTTCCAAAGTGCTAGGATTACAGGCATAAGCTACCACTCCCAGCCTATAAACATTTTCTAATATTGCTGTCTTCCTAATGGTGTATGATGCACCTAAAATATTTGGACAAATGTCCCCTTTCTTTTAGGTAGTATCCTCCAAATGTAAATACCTCACAAAATTCTGAAGTACTGTACTTCATGGCAGTTTTCATTTTGTGCTTTGCCCATCCAATATAGAATGGATCCCAAGAGGGCTGTATTATCCCTCATTAAAGAAGGGGGAAAATCTCTTCAATTTTAACTGATATTTCATGTTTCATTACAGTTTGCTTTGTGATGATTTCCCAGGGTTTGCTTTGAAATGTTTATAAAATTAGCATTTGCAGAAAATGTTCTTTATTTCATCAGTTTCTCTCTACCAAAGTCTAAATTCACAAGCTTTACTACAATACCATAGGGTTAATAAAAAATAAGCTTTTTGTTAATATGGAGTTTCTCTTTTTGTTCACTCCTAATATTTTAATTTCTAATTAGTTTTATGGGAATAGACAGTGAAGAAGTACAAGTGATACCTTGGATATACCCTGTTGTTGGACTCCCAGAAGCACCACCTCCTGAATCTCCTCAAGGTAGGTATACATTAGGATCAGAGAATGCCAGAATTCTTAGAGACTTTAGATATACTCTATTCCCATGTCTTCTTTGTTTGAATTCCAGAGAAAGTAGGCTGTCATGTGGGAATAGAGTATATCTAAAGTGGGAATTCTAAGACATAAACCTGTGCTCCTAATGTGTCCAGTGATTTTTCCATAAAACCACACTATTTTTTGTTGCCTTCCTGTTGGTGAAATGCAGATATCAGATAAAATTAAGATGAAATTAACTTCAGACTCCTTTATCCCACAGAGCTCTGCACTAGATTTGTAAGATTCTCAGTGACTTGCTCTTAAGTCACTTTTAGTCGTCCTATTTCGACTTCTGTGTAACTCTTGGTCTCATCTAAGAACTATGCTGTGGAGATGCGGATCCCTTTATTATTGTCTCAAGAATAAAAACTTTGTGGGATCCCCCAACCAGTCAGAATGTACTTCCTGAAGTTTTCAGGAAGGTTTATTTTGCCACAATAAACACAATATAAAATCTCTGCCCTTAAATGCCTTTCTTTTAATCATTGACCTTATTTTGTTCCTCCACATACCCTAGGCTTCTCAAGTTTCTGTGTGTTTTCTTTCCTCAATACTCTTCTCACTTCTATTGCATTCCTTGATTTTCCCATTTTCTTCCCAGGATCAACCTAAGAAACAAAATTTCTCTTAGATTACCAATGATATTTAGTATTCAAACCTCTTACCAGGCTCTAGATGGTATTCTGCATCACTAAGGTGCACTGAATTGCTCTGCAAAGCAAAGGGATATTTATTTTGGATCTCCCCCTTTAGCAACAACAGATGAATGAAAATCAGTATTGAAATTTTGCTGTTTCTTTCTCTCTCCAATATCAATCTTTGTAAATGAAAAAGAGTTAGACTTCTACTGATGCAATTACATCACCACTTAGAAAGAAGAGACACTAGTAAGTTTTGCTTGTAAGTAAAGCATTTCCCCAAATACACTGGTCATAAAGGAAGGTCAAGACTACATATTTCCTTATATAGTTTAATTTGAACCAGAGTAAAAATTCGCAAATATAGTAATATCTTTGACCACAAATGTCATTTATTTTACTTGAAGCATTTTTATTTTTGACTTTAAAAAATCAACACATAAATATTCTTCAGAATATTTCACAGACATGTCAAAACATTTCTTTTATTTCCTTCCAGAAGATAGTTAATTGTATACTTTCCATAAAGCTGAACTGCTTAAAATTTATAATATACAGTCATCTGATCGAAGTGATATAATAAACCCTAGACAGTACCCTGTTGGAATGTTAATAATAGTGTTGCTCATGTCAACTGCAGACAGTTTCATTTTCTCCAGATTAAAGGTTTAAGGCCAAATTTTTAGTCAAAAACCATGCTTATGAGAGCACAAAAACATAAATTTCTTGCAAATTTTTCTTCAAAGACAAATATGCTCTAGAACATTTTTATTTGAGTTACTTTTCTTGGTAATTACTTGATTTTTAAGTTAAACCTGAGTTCTGTAAATAGTTTGTGTTAGATTAGCACAACCTATAGTAACATTAGTGTTCTGAAAGAGTATTAGTTATTAAATCATTTTCCCCAAAATCTAAAATCTATACTGGTGATTATTTTTATCTACGTGTGCCCTCAAAAGGCAAGTGGGTATAATTTTATAAATACAGATATAATTTACTTTCTGTGTAGTTTATTTTTTGTTCTTTATTTAATAATATCAGATATAACCTACTGCTTTCCCTGCTCACCTATATTACTGTTAAAGTTTATTATTTCTTTTCTTTTTATGTATCTATCACTTAGGTAATTCTCAAATGCAGAATACTTTTTGTTCTTTGAGCCACATTTTCTCTTTGTGCATTCTTATCTACTACTCCCTATTGGGATCATTGGAAAAACACTCTGCTACCTGTCACACTCTAAAGACAATGAAATGAGAATTCGTTGTGATTGAGTGATCCATACATTGCCAGAGCACTAATTTCCTAAGGACCTCTAGGACATGACCAGTGACATGATACTGATTGTAACTTTGATAACATTAATTTCTGATTTAATGCTTTAATACTGAAGATAGTTATAACCAGAAAAGCTTGTACAGTTTTTCCCAGCCATTTTAACCCTTTTAATTTATATCTATCATGGTATTCTTATTGTGCATTTCACATACTCATTCTAAGTCCAGAATGTTCAATATAAATTTATACATTTTAGAATAAAATTTAAATTTATTATAGTATTTTATATTACAAATATAAGTATTGTGAAGACACATATATCTGAGGACATCTAATTTTGTAGATTGTATGAATATATTATTATTGATGCCACAGAATCATAGCATAATACATTTCACAAATGCTTTTATATTATGATTCTCCTTTTTCCCCTTTAGTCAGTGTGTATTTGACTTGATAATAGTATAGAATTTTATATGTTTGAGAGAAATAATATTCTTATTTATGTGGACTCCAGTACCCATGGTTATAGACCTACTGTCAAAATAATACATTGATATTCCTCCTTTATATAATTGGTAGTTGTACAAAGCAAGACTATTTTGATTTCTCACAACATTTCTGACAAATTTTCCATCACTTGATATAAAAAAGTTGTAATTTAATACATTTAAAATATATTTATATATACATATTTAATGCTATACATTAAATTAATATGTAATCACATTTGAGTTGAATTTTAAATAAATCATTATAATTTATGTGTTTAAAAGGTGACATTTATAAACTTAAAAGTGAATCAAAAATAATTTTAAGTATTTAATTTAAATATGAATTTCAGGGTACATGTAAAAACATAAATCTAAAAGGAAATATTTGAAAATATTGCAAAATGTGTTACAGAACTTATTTTTAAAAATTACTTGAAGACATTTCCTGTAGTATTGTTATAAAAGTAGAGTTTAGTATTATCACAATGAACATATATTGCAAAAGGGGAAAAAAATTCAAGCATTTACAATTGCCCCTTTAGTTATTAATATAACTACATCAGTTCCTGAATCAAATTTTTACTTCCTAATATAATGTTTTATAATCTAGTATATATCTTACAGATCTGTTTTCCTGTGTTATATTTACATAGTGTTTAATAGTCATATTTTCTTCCCAAATGTTAATTGAGATAGATATTGCATGAATGTGTGTGTGTGTATGTGGACAGATACAATGAAAAGTCAAAGGATACCAAAGGAAATTTTATTTTTATGACATAGTTCAGTTTCTTTTATCTCAAGAATGATCATGTCACCTACATATCAAATTAACTGGAAATATTTCTCTCCTGTAGTTGTTGTAAAATGTCAGACCAGAAAACGGGTGGAAGAGACAGTGGAAATCATACTGACTGCTGGTTTTTTCGGACATAATCCTACTCCAGAAATGAAGAAAATTTTAGTAGTTCCAAAAAGAAATTCATTTAATTATGGTGAAGATATAAATGGTAAGAAAACTACAGTAGATTGAAAAAATGGAAAGAAGCACTTAGTTTCCATGAATTGCAGGTTGCTGATTGTGCAGTTACATGATGATCCATGTCCGTTTACTTTTCATTTATAACATTCACATAATGCTTAAGGAATATTCAGTTGTTATGTGTGTTGTTTTCACGTAGCTCAAAAGTAACAGTTATAATTATCACTAGAATTATAAGATGTAGATTGTGATTCCATCAATAGTGAGAAAAAAACCTGTAGTAACTGTAATTTCCACTTCCCCTCAACTTTAATTTTTTTCTTTTACTGTTTCTTTCTGATTTAAGGAATATAATAATGCCATAAAATGCAGCTTTAAATTTAGAAACAAAACCTTGAGTAAATTATTTTCTTATTTAAAGAAATAGAAAATGAACACAAATTAGATATAATATCCAAATAAAGTTTGTATAATAATAATAATGCTCCATATATTTACTGTATATTCCAGATTTATATAAAAAAGAATTTACTATCTCAGTTTAAAAAAATCAAAATAATTTAAAATAGGTTATCTAATTCTTCAAATATGTGGTGTCTTTAAATATATATATGGAACTGAGTGATATCAGCAATAAGGGAAAGTAGAGTGTTCTGGCCCCTCCATACACCCACAAACACACCAACTCAGCAATAATTCCCTTCATAAGACAACAGAAACTAATTGAAAGTTTCTTGCATTTCAGGAGAAACCAGACTTACCAAAGCCTTTAGAGAGATTTAGGACACCCTCTTGCCAGAGACCCTGTGTTTGGCAAAGGGTCTTCTCATGACACATTGGTCTTGGCAATTATTTCATGGATGTAACACCAAAAGCACAGAAAAAAAAAAGTAGGACTACGTTAAACTCAAAAACTTCTTTACAACAAAGGAAACAATCAACAGGGTAAAAAGATAACATGGAATAGGAGAAAATATTTGCAACCCATATATCTGATAAGTGGTTAATTTCTAAAATATATCAGGAGCTCTTACATCTCAATTTTTTTAAAATAAAATCCTAATAACCTGATTTTTAAACTAAGCAAAAGACTCGAATAGACATATTTCCAGAAAATGCATATGAATGGTGAACAACTATATGAAAAAAGTTCAGTATCACTAATTAGGGAAATACAAATACAAACCGCAATAAGAAATTTGAACTTTTGCACATTGCTGGTAGGAATGCAAAATGGTTCATCAACTATGAAAAACAGTCTAATAGTATGAAGTCTCCTCAAAAATTTAAAATCAGAATTATCATACATTATCTAGCAATCCTTTTTCTCGACATTTATTTTAAAAAAAAGTTAAAATGGAGAGTTCCAAGAGAAGTCTGTATTCCACTGTTCATTGTAACATTATTAACAATAGTCAAGATACAGAAACAACCTATATTTATGCCCACAGATGAATGGATTAAAAAAATGTAGCATATACTATCCTGAAATAATATTCAGCCTTAAAAAGGAGGAAATTAATATGCAATATCATGGATGGACCTAAATTAAATAAGTCAGTCACAGAAAGACAAAACTACATGACACCACTTAAAATGATAAATTTAAAATAATAAGTGTAAATTAAAGCACTATACTGGGTGGCATGGACTCGGATAAAATTTAAGTGATAATCACACACTTGTCTTCTCTCACCTGAGTCTAAAACTAACTGAGAGGCAGATATAAAAATAAAGCATATGGAGATCAAAGTGTTAGCTTTATTAATTATACAAATGAATTAGAAAATGACTGGAAACTTTGGATAAATTTGTGCTTATTAATATCTTCCACCAAAATTGAGTGCATTCATGCCAAACTAGCCAGTTGTGAACTCCTCTCAGGAGCAAATTACACATGAGGGAGTAGAAGAAAGTGTGAATCCTGGAATCAAGACATTGGGGAAGAAAGAGAAGGGTATGCTCACTTGCTCATGTTCCATTTCTTCACTCAAATTCACTGATCAGATATGTTGCTTTTCCACCATGGCAAGTCATGAGGAAGGAGGCAGATTGAAGCTGAGATATTTTACTCCTATACTTTTTCCCTTCTTGTGAGTGAATAGGCCTCTTTATGTAAACCTGCTAAGTAGGAGATAAGAATTCCCATTATCTTCATCATAGAATATCTCTGAGTCACATTAAACTATCAAGCTTCATTAAATGAAAATATGAGGACCCCTGTTCTCTCTTCATCCTTATTTATCACACATATCTTTAGCTGGGATTAATTGCTTTCATATCTTTATCTTTCCACAACAATCTAGTAAGCATCTTTTCTGCCAGATATTATACTCAGCTCCAGAGATGTTAAAGTTAACGAGACAAATACTCCGTTGTCAAGGTGTTTGAAAATATTTATTCAACATGATAAATCTATGCACCTGTACTATTTAAATCAATTGGTATTGTCCTATTGGAATAGTATTCTTGGATTTTTGACTGTGTTTTGCAATGTCACTTCTATAAGATTTCAAATTATTCTCTGTGGGCAAGATTTCTCCTATAAGAATTTCTTCTTCCTAAGTAACTCCGGGTCCATGCATTCTTTGTAATTCTCTGTGGGTTAGTTCAGTGATTCTTGGGGCTTTCTATCTGAAAGTAGTTTTAGTGATAACCGCACATAAGTGTCATTCCCCTTAGTTTTATTTCCCTATTGTTCTATAGCTCAAGGCTGTTTTCCTTTGATTAATCTGTTGTCTTTTTTTTGCGTGTGATGTTTTGATTTATGTGTCATATGTGTCTGATTTTATCCCAGGCCAGTCATCTTCCTGTGTCATATTTGCCTGTTGTTTGTAAACTCCGATGACAGGTTTGGCCTTTAATCACAAACAGCTCCTGAAAAACCTGTCATTGGTTCTCCTGTGACCTCATATTGACCTCCTGTCCTTGATTCGTTGCTCTGCTTCTCTTCACTTTGTTTTTTCTGATCAACTTACTTCATCCAGCCTTTTGTCCTGCTTACCCTAATAGAACCCTTGGAAAGACTGCTAACCTTATCCAGTGTGTCTAATACAGGAGTCATATTTATGTTCTACATGTCACCAGCATTTACCAGTTGACCAAGTTGAAGTACTTTCTACTCTTGGTTTTCATGACTAACCTTACTAATTTATTATCTCAGTGGTTACCCCTTCTTTCTTTTTATTGTACGTTAGGCTCTGGGGTACATCCCACAGGCTTGTTGCATAGGTATACGCACGCCATGGTGGTTTGCAGTCTCTGTTCCCCTGTAGCCTACATCAGGCATTTCTCCCAGTATTTTCCCTCCCAGCCTCCCTGCCACCTACTGTCCCTCCCCTAGCCCCCCATTCCCCAACCTACCCCAGTGTGTGACGTTCCCCTCCCTGTGCCCATGTGTTGTCGTTGTTCAACACTCGCCTGTGAGTGAGAACACACAGTGTTTGGTTTTCTGTTCTTGTGTCAGTTTGCTGAGAATGATGGTTTCCAGATTCATCCATGTCCCTACAAAGGACACGAACTTGTTTTTTATGGCTGCGTAGTATTCCATAGTATATATGTGCCACATTTTTTTTGTGCAGTTGTTTTCTTTTCTTTCTCTGACCTAACTTTTTGAGTGCCCTAGGGCTCTGCTCTGAGAGGCACCACATTCCTATGCACAGATTATGTCCTGCACACTTCCCAGACAGTGATGCTAATGGTGCTTCTTCAGCAATTTTGTGCCATATGACAAGCCTGCTGTCTTAAGTTGTAAAGTCTTAAGTCAGACTGCTTCAGTTCTTTAGAGTTTGAAATTAGATGCTAACCACTAATTGTCTCCTGTTATTCTTAGAAGTCCCACATCTTCACCACACCCTGCATTGTCTCACTCTTTTCTATTTTGCCTGCCTCATTTCTTGATAAGCTCTTCTCACCCCCTATGCTCTGCTCTCATATGTTTTTTCTCAAATGGGCCCCTGTTTTCACCATGAACAATTCCTGCAATCCGAATAATTCCTGCAGGCTGCTTTGATGAGTAGAAGGCGGTTTCTCCCTCTCTACATCCAGCTAACCTTTACTCATCCTTCAGTTTGGTGTGTTGGTCTCTTCCTCTGGAATCCTTAGCAGTGGTGTTTCTAGGACCTGTGGTCTCATGGGGTCCTCTACTTCTCAGTGGTACCAGTTATCAGAGTAATAATTTAAAAACTAGTTGTGGCATTAGCAGTTATTGTCAGTTTCTTCCTCTTGATCATAGACTCCATAAGGAAAAGAATTGGATGTTTCATATCAATGAAAGCCTTTAATTCATATTTGCTGAATGAATAAAGAAATGAAAATATAAGTAATGATAAGAAAAACATGTTTTTAATGTATCTTTAAGTGTTGTCTGTGGAAACAAAATTATTTGCCTTTTATTCATTAATTTAGCCATAGCTAGAAAGTTTCCCTGAGGTAAAATCTATAGGTCTTCATCAGCAGTTCATGAAAATAGTTACAGAAAGAGAGACAACTGACAATAGAGGTGCATTGAAAAGGCAAGGGTGAAAATTATTTTATATCATAATATAGAAGTCTATTTTGAGATGATAAGAACTTTAATCACATACAAAAACACTTTTATTCCCCCCTAAATGTACTTTATATTATTGATATTAAAACTCATTTCATTGTATATTCATTAACTAATTTTTTGTGGCTATAGTTATTCTAAATACTTTTCTTTTAACATTTATACTAAGATTAAAACTTGTTTGTGCACCACTATTACATTATCACATTATTCTGCATTTGTATATATATTTACCTTTGCCAGTGAGATTTATACTTTTATAAATTTTTATGTTGCTTCTGAACACCCTTTCATTTCAGCTTGAAAAACTCCCTATTAGTACTTTTTGTAAGTAAGGTCTATTAGTGACAAACTCCTTCAGCTTTTGCTCATCTGAGGGTTTTTATCTCTTCATTTTAAAGGACAGTTTTGTCAAGTGTAGTATTCTTGGTTGCCCTTTTGTTTTCTTTTAGCACTTTGAATGTGTCCTCTCACTGTTTACTGTCCTGCGATGTTTCTGTTGAGAAATCCACTGATAGTGTAATGATAGTTCCCTTGTATGTGATGAGTCAGTTTTCTCCTGCTGTTTTCAAACTTCTATTTTTCTCTTTGACCCTTTTTGGCTACTCCATAGTCAGAAAAGGGACATCCCATGAGCAGAGTGGCCCAGAGTAGCCTACCTTTGACTTTCAACCATTTGATTATAAGGTGTCTTGGTGTAGGCCTGGTGCCTGGAACTGTAAGCAGATCTGGGGCCATGACTGGGGACACATCTGGCACCTGTGTCTACAAGGACAAGGCTTGGAACTAAGGTCCATGAGGGCAGTCCTAGTGCAAGCGCACATGACAGAGTTTGCTGCTCCCTTTACTCTTCCCTTCCCCTGTTTAAGAACTCCTGGGCTAAGGAGATGTCTCATCGTTGGGCTGAGAGGGTTGAATTCTGGATTAGCACAGCTGTAGCCCCTGTCAATTCATGATTCTCTGACCTCTCTTTCAAGTTCCATATGCAACAAACTTCTTGATTTGTGAGTTGGGCTCCTTACATGTAACTGGAGAGGAAATTTAATACATGTTTGTACCTCTCATCTACATGCTAGTTTTGGATTTAAGATATTTTTCATGTGCAGTGAACAAAACACTACTACTACTTTCCTTTGCTAATCTACTCATTAAGAAAATATGTGTTGGGCTGGGCACAGTGCTTATAATCCCAGCATTTTGGGAGGCTGAGGTGGGCAGATCATCTGAGGTTGGGAGTTTGAGACCAGTGTGACCAACATGGAGAAATTCTATCTCTACTAAAAATACAAAATTATCCGGGTGTGGTAATGCATGCCTGTAATCCCAGCTACTTGGGAGGCTGAGGCAGGAGATTTGCTTGAATCCAGGAGATGCAGGTTGAGGTGAACTGAGATTGTGCCACTGCACTCCAGCCTGGGCAACAAGAGCAAAAATTGCATCTCAAAAAAAAAAAAGAAAATATTTGTTCATCATATTTTCTATATACTCCATTGCTAAAACATGAGGGACAGTTTTTGGTAATCCAAATATACCAGAAATTGAAAATCCTGCTCTAATAGTTAAAATGCTGTTTCTATATTATTTAAACTTAATTCAAAGCAAAGTTTAAACCACTTTTATCATAAGTCTATTGGTTTTTAATACACTTTTTATATGGAACAAATGTCATTATTTGCATCTCATAGTTAATGATTATTAATTTCCACGTGATCTTTCTTGTTTTATAGACCTAAATTATAAAGATTTAAAAGTGGTGAGAATTGTCTTCTATGTTTATTCTTATATGCATTCATTTATTTATTGACTTTTAACAAAAATATACTATCATTATATTCCTGATAATGCACTAGGCTTTATAGACACAAAAGTAAATAATATATACCTCCTCCCTTCCGCTAAATACCTGTGCATTATTAGTCTTGACAGGTAATTAATATTAAATCTATGCCTGTTTAATTTAATTGAAATATATTTTAATCTTGATTTTCTTAGACATTCCTAGAATACGTAAATTTCAGTATGAAATTGAATATGAATCTGAAGCTATGAAGTACAAGTTGGAACCCTGTATAGCTTTATATTTGATCAAAAAATCTTATGATATTATGGCTGAAAGTATAATATTGATCTTCAATCTGATATTCTCACCAAATATGCCATTAAGGTAAGTCCACTTTCCTCTTTTTTATTTAAACACTATTATTAGTCTTTTAAATGTATTAATGTTGATTTTTTATTTTTCAATATTTGAATTACAGTACTTGTTTGATATTATTGAGAGAAATATTTTGAGCTAGAAAAAAATATTCTCATGATAAAAATGTAGTCTAAATAGTTGGAAATCTAAGATATCCCTCAAGAATTATGATCTCCCTAAGGTCATTAGTGTATCACATTAATGAAAGAGAATAGTCTATTTTGTAAAATCTTTAAAAATAACTGACAGTGTTATGCAATAGCAACATGTTATTTCTTGATGTTGCTTATTAGAACCAGTTCAAATGATGCAAATGCCTAAGCTATATTTTACATTGCAACTGCTTTCATTACATTTTACTACTCAATACATAACATTACATATTCCTTAGTAAGGTATAAGTGTATCTGTGGGAAGAGTGGCCTTTAGATGTCTGTCCTCTGGGAAACTTCATCCAGTGTCATTATGTTTGCTTTTTGGACACCTGCTACACAGCATCTGCAAAAACTATATGATATTTCACTCTGAAATAGGTCTTTATTTGTGTCTGAATGCAGAGATACTGAGGAGCACCGTGATATGCACAAAGTACAGCCTGGCAATGAAAAAACAGTTGAAAATATTATTTGAGTTTTTAATGATTTTTTTTCTCTCAACTTTTATTTTAGATACAGGTAGTACATCCATAGGATTTTTTACATGGGTATATTGCACTCAGGCAGGGAGCATAGTACCTAATAGTACCTTTTTAACCTATCCCCTTCCCAAGTAGTAGTTTGTAGTGTCTGTTCTTCCCATGTTTATGGCCACAGGTGCTGAATGTTTAGTTCTTTTTTGTTAGTGAGAACATGCAGTATCTGGTTTTCTATACCTGCCTTAATTTGCTTAGGGTTATGGCTTTCAGCCCCGACCATGGAAAGAGGACATGGATGCATGCAAAGGACATGGTTTCATTCTTTTTGATGGCTGCATGTTATTCCATTGTGTACCAAGCCACCATTGATGGCCACACAGGTTAATTCCATGTTGTTTGATATTGTGAATATAATGTGACAATGAACATACAAGTGCATGTGGATTTTTGGTATAATGATCTATTTTTCTTTGGGTATATACCCAGTAGTGGGATTGCTGGGTTAATTTCTAAAGTTCAGCCTTGTATTTTATGTAATCATACATGTAAAGTAGCTATGAATATATAGTCTGATAACTAAAAGATACAGGGTCATCTTAAGGAAGCAGTAATGAAATCAAGCTACAAGAAGAAAGTATACCATACACATTGACATTTTCCATTTTTTGTATTTTATTTTTTGTAGTTTTATATATTTGCTTGTTAATTTTTTTACATTTGCTTCATATTGTATTAATGCAATGATGTGGAAATTACAGCAACACTAGAAAGGGAACAATGTTATTATTTGTGAATATGAGTAGAGCCAATGTGAATTTATACTCATTAAAAATTTTGTGGATTTAGAACATTTTGGTGAATATTTGGGAAACTAATTTAGGGCAACATTTTTTGATGATTGATAAATTTCTGTGAGATAAATTTCACACTGTGATGTTCTGATATGGTATAGCAATGCTATTTTGTGCATATATACATATATTCATTTACTGTGATTCCGTCTTTTATATGTACAATCATGTATCACTTGAAGACAGAGATATGTTCTGAGAAATACATCCTTAGGTGATTCCATCATTGTGCACACATCATAGAGTGTATTTACACAAACCTAGATGGTGTAGCCTACTGCATACCTAGCCTATATGGTACAGCCTATTGCTTCTAGGCTGCAAACATACACAGGATGTTACTACTGAATAATGAAGACAACTGTAACACAATGGTAAATAATTGTGTACCTAAATACAGAAAAGGTACAGTAAACATACAGTATGATAATCATATGGAACAACCATTGTATGTACAGTTCATCATCAACCAAAATGTCAATGCAAGAGAAACAATTAAATGAGAAAAATCAAAATTACACCAATAGCATTAAGCTATGAAAAATAACAGGAAAATAATTATACTATGCTTTACCTAGATTAATAAATTAGTATTCAATTCAATTATTCTCTTTTTTGTGGGAAAGTTTAAAAATAACATTTTTTATGTTTTGGTAAAAAGAAAATATATCATGTTTTCAACAGTGAATACTAGGTAATTTTGACATTCATCTTTTCACAGAATACGGTGTTGTGCATAATAAAAATAATAATCAATTTGCTAAATTATAATTTTACAAAAGAAATGCAGGAAAATTATTCCTATGGGCCTTTTTTCAATAAAAATCAAGGGTCCAATACAAAAACATATGAGAACAATGGTTAATATTGTAATGAATCAGTCTGATAATCCTAATTTAACATGTCTAAACATTTTTCTAGATAAAGAAATAATAGCTATCATTTGTCTTATAGTATCTTCAGAAATACGAATTACCTTAGCTTGACATTTTCCTAGAACTTTTTACCTGCTCAAGAGCTGATCAGAATGAGAAACTCCGAAATGAGTTCTATTTCGGAGTTTGTTGGTGGCAACTTGAAATAAGAAATATCACACATATGCATTGTTATGAATATATGTATTGATTATAAAATGGTTCATTGTGTCATCCCTGAAATTGTGTGGTATTCCCCCAGTGGGTACCACATTTTGAGTCAGCAGCTTCTCATTAACTCAAAGAAGTGGCTTGTAGAATGGAATTATTCAGTATTATTCATTCGAATCTGTATATTAATTTATCAAAAATCATTTAACATCTACAAAAGAGACAAAATCTCTGCACTTTAGGAATATATCATCTAGTGAGAGTGATAAATAACAGAAATAAATGAATAAGCAAGCAAGCAAATTTTATATTTTCCTAAGAAATAAATAAATAGGGGAAATAGTCAAAGCGAAGACCTTACAGATGAAAAAAGTTGGAAAGAGCATTTGAGCCAGAGAAAATAATAAATACAGAAGTCATAAGACAGGAAGTGTTTAGCACAGACAATGAATAGTAAGAAGGTCAATCTTTCTCTAATGGAGTGAGCAAAGGAGGAAATAAGTTTGGAGAATTTTGCTGGGATTTGTTCACATAGGTCCATGATAATATGAGTTGGTCTTTTATGTTAGAAACAATAGAAAACCATTGAAGAATAAATATTTGGGGAACTAGTTTAGAACAACTTGTGTACTTGAGTCATCAAATTTTGTAAGTGAAAGTGATACCTGATGTAACTTAACAATTGTATTTTGTGCATATTTATTTACTTCTGCCATCCCTTGTTCCAAATTAATTTGGAATGGCTTACTGGAATACACAGAGTTAAATTTAAAAAAAAAAGAAAGAAAGGAAAGAAAACAATAGCTCTAAATTGTGGAAATCTTGTAAGATGCTAACAGGAGAAGTGGAGAAACCAGTTCTTGAAATAATGGTCTTGAAATAGTGGTAAGAGAGTAATATAGTTTTGTTTACAAAGACAGGAGAATGTGAAAGAGGTATAGGTTTAAAATGTATATTTGGATGTGTTAAGCTTAAGATTGTGTATTGGTCATCATTAACTAAATTATACTGCATAGTATTCCATTGTTTCTATGCAACACACTTCATTTTAGCAGCACCCTATTGAAAGAACATTTTAAAATTTTGCTCCCAACTTTTTGATAGTATAATGCAATAATGAATATCTTTGTATACATCACTTCTTGAAATCTTAGAGGCATTTCTCCAGAGGAAAGTACCAATAGTGAAACTCCTAATTTATTGAGTGAAACTTTCTTTTCTTTTTAAAAAAACTGTTATTTTAGGTTCAGGGGTATGTGTGAAGGTTTGTTATATAAGTAAATTCGTGTCAATGGGGGTTTGCTGTACAGATTATTTCTTCACCCGTGTATGAAGACTAGTACCCAATAGTTACTCATTCTGCTCCTCTTCCTCCTTCCAACCTCCACTCTCAGGTGGGCCCCAGTGTCTATTGTGCCCTTCTTTTTGTCCATGTGTTCTCATCATTTAGCTCCCACTTATAAGTGAGAACATGTGGTATTCGGTTTCCTGGTTTTCTCCTATGTTAGTTTGCTAAGGATAATGGCCTCCAGCTGTATCTATGTGTCTGAAAAAGACAATCTTTTTCTGTTTTTATTTTATTATTATTATTTTTGAGACAGAGTCTCACTCTGTCACCCAGGCTGGAGTACAGTGAAGCAATCTCAGCTCACTACAATCTCTGCTGCCCAGATTCCAGTGATTCTCCTGTCTCAGCCTCCCAAGTAGCTGGGATTATAGGCACCTGCCACTACACCTGGCTAATTATTTTTATTTTTAGTAGAGATAGGGTTTCACCATTTGGCCAGACTGGTCTTAAACTCCTGACCTCCTGATCTCCCAAAGTGCTGGGAATACAGGCCTGAGCCACTGCACACAGCCATAATCTCATCTATCTATCTATCTATCTATCTATCTATCTATCTATCTATCTATCTATCATTATTTCAGAGACGGAGTTTCACGCTTGTTACCCAGGCTGGAGTGCAATGGTGCGATCTGGGCTCACCGCAACCTCCGCCTCCTGGGTTCAGGCAATTCTCCTGCCTCAGCCTCCTGAGTAGCTGGGATCACAGGCACACGCCACCATGCCCAGCTAATTTTCTGTATATTTTTTAGTAGAGACGGGGTTTCACCATGTTGACCAGGATGGTCTTAATCTCTTGACCTTGTGATCCACCCGCCTTGGCCTCCCAAAGTGCTGGGACCACAGGCTTGAGCCACCACGCCCGGCCATTCTCTCTTTTTTTAATGGATGCATGGTATTTTGGGTATTTTGTGGTGTAGATGCACCACATTTTCTTTATTCAGTCTTCCTTTGATGGGCATTTAAGTTATTCCATGTCTTTACTATTGTGAATAGTGCTGGAATGAACACACAAGTACATGTGTCTTTATGATAGAATGATTTTATATTCTTTTTGGTTTATATCTAGTAATGGGATTGCTGTGTCCAGTGGTAGTTCTGTTGAGAAATTGCCATACTGCTTTGCACAAAATTGATAAGATATCATCCAGTTGCTCACAAAATGGTTGAGTAATTTTGTAGTCCTACCTAAGAAGTTATTAATTTTGTATTCCCAGAACAGTTCCCAGAACAGTTCTTTCTGTCACTTTTAAGGAAGAGATTTGAGATTCCTTTTCGAATCCTGACTTATGATATTGAAATCACACTGTTACATGTGTGTCATTTCTACCCTAAATAAGCAAACAGATAACCATTCGTCAACTCTGGCTACTGCCCTGTCTTTCCACTCTTTGTCATAGTCAAATGCTTTGGAAGTCTAAAATCTGTCTCTAGTAACTTTCTTCCTTAATTGCCACTCAATTTTATCTTATTCTGCAAGGTGTATGTGGTCTTTACCAATTGCAATTTAATTTTTTAAAAGCGGCCATCTAAGTCAAGTATATGGGCTTTGTATGTTTTCACAGAAAATATATTTTTTCTTTGTGAAGCAAGAGTTGAAAATACTTTCTCATAATGTTTCATTTGTGAAAAAAATCCCCAAATGGAATATCTATTAGTATAAAACATGGGTTCATTTTGCCGAATCCACTCTTACCTTCTTATACACTATGATATTCTATGCTGGCTACAGAAAATTTGCAGAATTCATTCTGCATATGTTATTGGTTCTTAGAAAATAACTAGAGGGTAGATAAAATGCCGTAAAAATAATTATTTCAAAGGGAGAATGATAATCTATGACCTAAAAATAGTTTCTAAAATATAATTAAAAGTCATTTACATTATTTTTAAGAATTAAATGCTCTAGTGTTTTCACTGAAACATAAAGTTTGCTTACATTTTTACCTTGATATTACCTTACTATATTTATTCTCTTGTTTTCATGTGGTATCCTTAAAAATCTCCTTTTATATTCAAGGACTGAAATAACACTGAAAATAGAGTGCATAACAGAAGGGATCTGGAAGTTTCCCATAAGGGTGATTGCTACTGAACCTGATGTGGATGCTGTCATTGACATTGAAGGAGTTGGTTTATTTAAGGAATCTGTTTTTGACTTTAGGCTGACAAGTCAGACAAGGTAATATATTAAACAAAAGTGTGTAGCTGTTTTAGTGAATATGCTAAACTTTGGAATGAAATTTAAGATAGGAAATTCTATAGTTCATCTTTCGCTGGTTAAGCCAGTGCAACATTGGTTCTCTGAATCAAAGCTTTATATACTACATAAATTTTTGTTTAAAAATTGGAAAATAGGGTATACAAAGTGAAGGCCAGAAAGGAAAACAAAAGTAGATAATTAAAAATTGAAATACAGGATACTAATAATATTTCCATTTGTTTTCAGAGGATGTTTCGGTGTTTTTCTGCAAATGTCAATTGTGTTACTATATCAAATGGTTTAACTAAGCAGAAATGGTTGGGTAAACCCACATTGATTCCATGTTATGTTTTATTTACTTTCTACCATAGTGGTCTTTGTCATATTTGTGCTAACATAGGCGGTATTACAATATTTTTACTTATCTCACATGTAAAATATACTTTTACAGCTTTTTGAGGTATAGGATGCATAACATAAAATTCATTCATTGTAAATGTACATTTTAATAATTTTTAATTATAGAATTCGCAATCATTACTACATTCTAGATATAGAACTTTTCCTTTTCCCCCCACATTTCCCTCAAACCCTTTTGCAGTCAACTCTCATACCCTTTACCAGTTTCAGTCAACCACTAATTTGCTTTGTCTCTATAGTTTTGCACTTTCTGATATTTCAAATAAATGAAATTACATAATATGTATCTTTTGCATGTGATTTCTTACACTATCCTTATCTGAAGTTCAGTAGTTTTCATGAATAAGTACCTATTAGCCTTGTATATATTTCATCTATTTCTCGAGGGCTGAAATGGTTTTTTGTAACAGTAGTCCAGCTTTATGGTGAAAATGAGTGATGAACAGTTAAATGTATAATCACTTATATTTGGAGCCAGGTTATACAAGTCTGTACAGCAGATAGGCTATTCACAAAATTCACTGTCTAAACTTGAACCATCTTGAGAATTAAAGAGGATAATTAATAATTAGGTTTGGCAACAAGGTAAACTGGTACAGACCTAAGCAAACCAGCACCTAACAGTTACTGTTCTTACAGGCTATGGCAAGATGTTTGCTGTTTATCCAAAGAAGTATAAAAAATCATTTAATCAGCAGAGTGATATATTTGAAAAAGAACATTTAGCTGAAATGTATAGAAAACAAATGCAAAAAGGGTAAGAGTGAATGGAGATAGATTAGTTAGTTGGCTAATGCTGTTTTCTGAAGGTTGCTTGAACTTTTTGCAGTGAAAGTTTAGAGGGAAAATAGGTTGGAGAGGCTTTAAGGAGGTAAAGACAGTTAAATTTAGCGATAGTTTTGGGGATCAGAATGTTCCACTTTGCTGGAGAGTATTCAGTGTTAAATCAGAGAAGTATCTGTAATGTAGAAGAAATTGTAACATCGAGTGGATATTAAAATATACGATCTGAAATTTCTCTTACAGTTTGAAAAAATGATATTCTTGTGAAAAAAATTGGTTTCACAGTCAAACAGAATGAGAAATAATTTTTTGCTCAACCACCTGTGGGACTTTCAACTATATGTTTTTGCTTCTCTGAGCTTCCATTTCCTCATTTTTAAAGTGGAGATAAAATATAACCCATAATGTTGCCATGAGAACAAATAATGCAGTGTATATGAATTGTTCAACACAATGCCCAATAACTTTTAAATGTTTAATCCTGTTTAAGATAAATTCTCCTACACTCCCTTGTACCTACTCCTCACTCTCTGCTTCAGGGTAAGAGAACAGCTGCCTTCAGCTATTCTCTGTACCCACTCCCCCACCAAGCTTTGCAGAGCCTTATAACCTTTCAGAAGACCTGCTCCTTTCTCTATGGTTTCTCGCACTGCTCTGACCCATCTCTTACAAAATCCCAAAGATTTTCTTTCATGTTCTCTTTTAAAAATTTTAGAGTTTTGTGTTTCAAACTTAAAGCCATTATATATTTTAAGTTAACTGTTGGATATGGCATGGGGTTTAGGTTGGGGGTTCATTTTCCTTAAGGATGTCCAACAACGTTTGTTTAAAAGACTATCTTTCCTCCATTGAATTGATTTTGAAACTTTGTCCAAAGTCAAGGTGGATGTATTTGTGTCAATCTAGTTTGGGGTTTTCTATTCTTTCTCTTTATCCATTGCTAATAACACCACGGTCAGGTAGAGTGATTCCTCTCACTTTATGAGTTCCTTTTAAAATTATTTTAGCTCTTCTACTTCCATTACCTCTGTATATATATTATAAAAATAAGCTTATCTATGTCTACAAAATTCTTATGTTATTGTAAAAGAAATTTATTAAGCTTATATATCAAATTGCTAACATTTGACATTTTTACTGTGTTACATACACTACTATATATTTTACTAATCCATACCACATATGGTAGATCTCTCAATTTTCTTAGATCTTTGATTTCTTTCATTGGTGTTTTATAACTTTCAGATTATAGACTCTGTACAGGTTTTGATACATTTTCATCTAGACGTTGTACTTTTAGAGTGATTACAAATGCTATTGTATTTTCAATTTCAGTCTCCACGTTTGTTGCTAGTATTTAGAAGTGCTATTGGTATGTGTGCTTATTTTGTATCTTCTGAGTTTTCTGAACAGTTATTTATTCTACAAGCATTGCTTTTGGATTCCTTGGCATTTTCTATATAGACAATCATGTCTTCCACACAAAGGGATAGTTATATTTCTTCATTTTCAACCTATATGAATTTTTTCCCCCTTTTATGCCTCATTTCACTGGCTAGGACTGCCAGTACTATATCGAATAAGACTGATGAGAGTAGACATCATTGCCTTTTTTTCCAAACTTAGGTAGAAAGCATTCAACCTTTCACCATTACATATGATGTTAGCTGCATAGTATTTTAAGGTAACTTTCAACAGGTGGAGGAAGCTGTTCATCTCTGTATTAGTTTCCTAGGGCTGCTGTAACAAACTACTACAAACTAGGTGGCTTAAAACAACAGAAATGTATCTTCTCACAGTTTTGGAGACTAGAAATTTAAAAAATAATGTGTCAGCAGAGCCATACTTTCTCTTCAGGCCCTAGGGAAGAATCTGATCTATGAGTTTCTCTTAGCTTCTGGTGTTGCCAGCTATCCTTAGAGTTCATTGGCTTGTACATATATCACTCCAATCCCTGCCTTCATCATCACATGCCATTCTCTCTGTGTGTCCCTGTCTGTATATCTTCTCCTCTTCTTATAAAACCAGTTATATTGCATTAAAAATTCATAATGACCTCATCCTGGCTTGATTACATCTGATATGACTCTATATTAAAATAAGGTCATATTCATAGGCACTGGAGTTAGGACTTCAACATATATTTGGGGAAACAATTCCTAATTCCCCATGTCTAATTTTTTTGAAGGTCCTACCAAGAATATGTGTTTATGTCAAATGCTTCTTATATAACTTGTTGAAATGGTGGGTTACATTGATTGAATTTAAAAATATTGAACCAGATTTACATTCCTGTAATAAAATCCACTTGGTATTGTTATGTATTTTTATATGCATTATTGCATTGAATTTGCTCTAATTGGTCATTATTTTTGTGTCTAACTACATAGAAGTATTGGGCTATAGTTTGATTTTTAATTTTAAATTTTTAATTTTAATTATTATTATTGCATTCTTTTTGTCTGGTTTTCCAATCTGAGTACTGCTGTTATCAAAACATGAGTTAGAAATGTTCCCTTCTCTTCCATTTTTTGAAGATAATGTTTAGAATTGGTTATAATTATCTTTTGAATGTTTCATAGAATTATCCACTGAAATCATCTGAGACTGAAGATTTCTTTTTCAGAAGCTTTTTAAAATTATAGATTTAATTACTCTAAGATGTCAAGTAAGGTAATTTATTTCATACTGGATGAGTTTTGGTAGTCTGCGCTTTTCAAGTAATCGTTTCATTTATTCTAAATTGTCAAACATTGTATAAAGTTGTTCAGTATACTTCCTTAAGAATCTGTTGAGACTTGCAGAGTCTGTGTAATATCTCCTCTTTTATTTCTGAAATTGATCATTTGCAGCTTCTCCTTTTAACCACTACCAGTCATGTTAGAAGTGTGTCAGTTTCATTGAGTTTTGGTAAAGAACCAGCTTTTAATTTCATTGGTTTTCTCGATTTTTCTGTTTTAAATTGATTTTTGCTCCCATTTTTGTTTTCTTTCCTTTACTTATTGTGGATTTTTCTTAATTTTCTAGTTTCCTGAAGTGGAGCTCAGATTGTTGATTTGAGGCCTTTTCTTTTTTCTATGTTATTTAGTATTATAAATTTCCTTCTGGATACTGCTTTAGCTGTATTTCACAAATTTAGTATGTTGTTTTTTTCATATTTGTTTAGTATTTGTAATTCCTTTGATATTTCTTTTTTGACCCAGGGATTATTTAGAAGAGAGACACTTAATTTACAAGTGTTTGAGGATTTTTGTTGTCTTTCTCTTATTGATTTTTAATTAGATTTCATCATGACCAGAAAACATACTCTGTAGAAATTTAATCATTTGAGCTTCTGAGCAATTTGCTTGGGCAGAGGGCCTATGGATAAAAATAGAAATCAACAGAATAGAGGTAGATGGAGTGTTCTACAAATATCTGTTAGAGCATGTTTGTTGATGGTTTTATTTAAGGTTTTTTAATTTTTAATTTTTATTTTTTGTTTTTTTCCCCCTAATTTTCTGTTCAGTAGTTCTAATAATTGATGAGAGAGAAGTGTTGATATCTCTGTATATAATTGTAGATGTTTCTTTTTTCCAAGACTGTTTTTGCTATACATGTTATTTATTGATTGATGGACTCCTAACAATTATACACCTTTATGGGTTACATATGGTATTATGATACTTGCACACAATGTGTAATGATAAAATCTTGGTGTTTAGGATACCCATCACCTCAAACACTTATCATTTCTTTGTGTTGGGAACATTTGAAATCTTCTGTTCTAGCTATTT